AATCAATGGAACAGGGTCCAGAAATATGTCAACACATATAAAATCCATCGATTTTTGACAAATACATCAAAGCAGTTTACCGGAGAAAGGAAAGTGTTCAACAGTGGTGCTGGGACAACTGGGTATCAATAGGAAAAATTGGAAAAAAAACCCTCTGGGGCACGTTGGCGACTCAGTCGGTTAAGCGTCCAACTCTTGATTTTGGCTCAGGTCATGATCTCATGGTTTGTGAGTTCAAGCCCCGTGTTTGGCAATGTGCTGACGGCGTGGAGTCTACTTAGGATTCTCTTTCTCTTCCTATCTCTCTGCACACCCCCTTTAAATAAATAAACATACAGAACATAAAGAACCTGGACTCCTCACACCATACCAAAAATTAATTTGAAATGGATCACAGATCTAATGTAAGAGCTAAAACTAGGAAGGTTCTTAAAGAAAATGTGGAAAAATTTCTTCATGACCTTGGGGTAAGCGATAATTTCTTAGATTGAGGATATAAGGTAGTAGCTATAGTAGAGAAAGAGAGTAGTAAAGTTGTATAAAAGCTAAAAACTTCTATACACATATATCAAATCATGTTGTACACCTAACACTTAATAAAATGTTACATGTGAATTTTATTACAGGTGAAACAATTTTCATACTTTTGCTTTTAGAAAAATTCCATTTCAGCAAATTAAAAGTCAAACCACAGATTGGGAGCAAAGACTGATAAACAGAACTGTGTTACTTCTTGGTGAGAGTATAAAATGGTGCAGTCACTTTCAAAAATTCTTGGTGGTTCTTATACAGTTAAATATTCACCTATCTTCTGACATACCAAGTTCCATGTCTAGATATCCACACAAGATATTTACCCTAATTTCAGAACTGTTCATTTGCTATTTCAAAAAAAAAGAGAAATTTTCTAGATTATTAGCTTTATACCATTTCCTATAAAATGTAAGGGAAATTTATGAAATTTCAAAATCAACGGGCCAAGTTTTAAAAGAGGAAAAAAATTGCCTTAAAGTATAGATGTGGAAAGGATAGAAGGACTAAACAGAAACCAGGCTGGTTAAATTTGTTTGGGTCAGTTTATCTCTGGTACCATTTACAGGCTACCGTGATGCTCTGTGTTGTTCAATTAAGAATTTCATTCATTTCACGGTATACAAAGTAATCATTTTTACTGTGTACTATTTTTACTGTTCCTCTAGGGACATGCGTATCACTGGCTTCTACAATTAAAATGCATACATGTTCAAAGAAAATAATTTGTGAAATATATCTGATTAGATACTATTTATCTATATCAGGTCTTTAAAATTATGTTCAGAATCTCTAGGCCATTGTAGTATGATGGTATCTTTTAAATCACAGAGCTATGTTTCCTCTCTCTGTGCCTTGTTCTGATGATGAAAAAGGCATTAGTGACATCTACTGTAGTAGACAATAAAAGGAATCCACAACTATAAATAATATTGAACACTTTAAGAAAATATTTTTAAAGGCATCTCAACCTGTGTTAACTTTTCGCATAATAAAGTATAGAAAACTGGGGCACCTGGGTGTCTCAGTCAGTTTAGCTTCTGACTCTTGATTTTGGCTCAGGTCATGATCTCACAGTTCGTGGTATCAAGGCCCACGGATTCTCTCTCTGCCCCTCCCCTGCTCGTACCCTCTCTCTCTCACATTCTCTCTCTCAAAAAACAAAAAAACCAAAAACTTACCAACAATATCAAGTTGAGTTTCTTCATCTTCTTCTCTTTTTCTCTTCTTCTCTTTGCTCTTTTTCTTCTTACTGCAGGAGATAATTCATATAGATGAGTTTAGATGTTATATATATAGATGATTTGATGTTAAATATCACAAAATGCAAACTTAGAGGAATCTTTTAAGCTGCACATAGATTTATGAGTTATTGATTTACAGTTGTCTACACCAATATACCTTCTTACTTCTAATCCTGAGAACTTACTTCTGATCCTGTATGTATTGTGTTACAGTTAAGAGAACAGACTCTGGAGCCAAACTGCCTTTTTAATCCTGATATTGTCATTTCTGAGCTCTCTCACTTTTGGAAAACTACTTTATCTCTTGTCAGTTTCTCACCTATAAGATGAGGATAATAATTTAACTGCTCTTAAGGTTACTGTGATGACAGTTAACATGTATCTTCATATATTGCTGGTGAAAATGTAAAATGGTATATAGCCGCTTTAGCAAATAGTTTGGGGTTCTTCAAAACCTTAAATACAGAGTTACCATATGACCTAACAATTTCCTCCTGGGTATATACCTAAAAGTGAAAACACATGTCCACACAAAAATTTTACAACAATATTCATAGCAGCATTACTCATAATAGCCAATAAGGGGAAACAATCCAATGTCCATCAACTCATGAATGGAGAAACAAAATGTGTTATATCTATACAGTGCAATGTTATTCAGCCATAAAAATAAGAGTACTGATACATGCCACAATGGGGATGAAGCCAGATACAAAAGGCTGCATATTGCAGGAGTCTGTTTATGTGAGGTGTTCAGAACAGACAAACTGATACAGACAGAAAGCAGATGAGTAGTCACCAGGGATTAGGGGAAGAGTGAAATGGAGAGTGACTAGTGATTATGGGGTTTCCTGCCAAGATGATGACAATGTTCTGCAGCTTGAGAGTGCTGAACTTCGTGAACACACTAAAAAGTCACAAAACTGTACTTTAAAATGTGAATTTTATGGTATATGTATTATATCTCAGTAATAAAAAAATACAGGGGTGGTTCAAAAAAAGTTATATGCACAGTGCTTTTTAAAAATTTTTTTTAATGTTTTATTTATTTCTGAGAGAGAGAGAGAGAGAGAGAGAGAAAGAGAGACTCAAGACAGACAGACAGCATGAGCAGGGGAGGGTCAGAGAGAGGGAGACACAGAATCTGAAACAGGCTCCAGGCTCTAAGCTAGCTGCCGGTACAGAACTTGATGCGGGGCTGGAACCCACAAACCGTGAGATCATGACCGGAGCTGAAGTCGGAGGCCCAACCTACTGAGCCATCCAGGCACCCCTATATGCATAGATATTGGCACACAGAAAGCGCTGTATGTGTGTTAATTACGGTGGAGTTGTGATCACTGTAAGACACACTTGCCTGTATTTTCATCACAAGGTAAGCTTTCCGAAGTTAACTCTACCCTCTCTCCTGTGAATGCAGACACGTTTCAGATTTACTCAGGATAAATTCTTTGTGATTCCAGACATGGAAGCAGAGTTCCCAAGGGCAGCGGCTGCAGCTCGCTGCTTGACACTTTCTTTCATCTTACCTACAAGTACCAAAAACCATCACCGAGACAGGATGAAATGCTTAGCTTGTATGAAAAATCAACCCTGAGTACATCTGCCAGTTAAGACAGAGTTGGAGGCAGGAGTGGGAAGACACCTTTTTGTAAAAATCTAATAATTATAAATCACTACAACCTTCTCCTTGCATTTGGCTCTACGTACTGTGTATGTTATCCGATCTAATAATCCTCATAATAATCCTTTTAAAGTACCGTTAATATTTCTTAATCAACGAGTAAATGGAAGCTCAAGGATATTGCCGCAAATCGCAAAACTGGTGGGAGTCGAGATTTGAGTCCATATCCCTCTCAAAACCCACATCTGCATATTGCATTAAAAATTACTTAAGAATCTTTGGGGGGGGCGGGAGACAGGGGGAAAATAATGATCCCTCATAAAGGAAGTTATTGTTATGGCCTATGTCATCAGACTATGGCAGACCCTCCATTAGGAGGTCTGGAGGGGGGCCTTATCATGGACCCCAACTCGTGGCTCCTGGGCTACTGGTCTCGCTCTCCTGTCTCCCCCCTTTTGAAGGCGACAGTCGGGGCGCGCGTCTCTGGCAGCGACGGTCCAGGTGCCAGGAACTGAGTCGCAGCATCAGTCCTCGCGGGATCAGATAGGTTTCGGCGAGACTCTCTGGCAGCGGGTGGAGGGGAGGGGACGCACACAGTCCCGCACAAACTCTGGCCTTACCTCTTCGCCTGGGTTCCCTTGAGCACGAGTTTGGTGGACTTCACATACGAGTATTCGGCCATGGTTCCGGGGTTACTGTATAAAGAGGTGAGAGCGAGCTAAGGGCAAAATACCTTCCCCGGAGTAGGAACGCGCGCGAGAGCCCCAACAACAGAAACAGAGGGGAGGCTCCCCCAAAAGCGCACGTAGCCGCGGGAGTGGACCCCTTCGGAGTCCTCGGTGTTTTCCACCCGACCGCGGAATTCTACTTCCTGTTTACTGTCTGGGACTACGGCAACAGCAGAGGGCCGAAATACGTCAGGGTTCCTTTGCTCTGTCGTGAGCCCGGAAAAGTTCCGGCTTCCCGAAGTGAGGACACCTGCAGAGAGCGCCCTCTGGTGGACACAGGGGGTCTAGTAGCTGCGGTTGGCCCCGCGAGGCACTCTAGAGGTTTCCTCCTGCTAGGCTTCCCGGGAAGGCGACAGTTTGATGGGTAACCGGGTGAAATGACTCAATCAGAGCTCCTGGTCCCACCAGCTATGAACTGGGCCTGACCACCCGGCGCGGCCGAATGCATCATCGGGCCTTAGATGACTTAACGAGCCATTTCTTTTCTTTTCTTTTTTTTTTATTTCTAGGAGAGAGAGAGAGAGAGAGACAGCGTGAGCAGGGGAGGGTCAGAGAGAGAGGGAGTCACAGACTGAAACAGGCTCCAGGCTCTGAGCTGGCAGTCAGCACAGAGCCCGACGCGGGGCTCGAACCCACGAACCGCGAGATCATGACCTGAGCCGAAGTCGGACGCTTAACCGACTAAGCCACCCAGGCGCCCCTTAACAAGCCGTTTCAATTCCACAAACCCTCTTTGTATTAACTAGGGAGGCTTGAGAATTGTACAGGAAACAACAAGGGAGTAAAGTAAAAGATAGTAAAGTGCATAGATTTGGGCCACAGATTTCACAAGCGCTGCAGGAATGTGGGTGGAGGTGGACGTTGGAAACTGACAATCAGACAAGTCTTTCTGTGCAGGCGGGGTCTTGAGAGAGGCTTTCACGGTGTCTGCCACTATTTCTCCGTCCTGCTCCAATCTCTTCGATAGTTTTATAGTCCACCTCGCTGACTCCATTTTCTCCCGCTTCCAAACCATGTCTTATAATGCTTCCCGAATGCTCCTTCTAGAGGAAAAACCTGCTTATTCTCCTATCTGAGGCAGCCGATTATTTTCGGGAGGGAAAATCCGGGATCACTCGATAAACTGTCGACAATCTCGCCTCTTTTCCCACCACTGAACCTTTTGTCACCTTAGTTCAGGTCACACCAAGTCCTTGGAAATATCTGAATGCTCCGTGTTTACTTTCGTTGCTTGGAATGCTGCCCTTTCCTCTTTCCCACGGTCTTCGCTAGGCCTTGTGTTTCAGCCTTTAAGACAAACTCAGGCGTCATTTGTTCCTGTGAAAAGTAAGAAAGAGAAACCTCGCTAAAATGGAGAAAGGAGGAGAAAAGAGCAAGTTAGAAGCGGAAGCCTTACCACTCAGCTTCAATTACAGGAAGGATTGTCGATTAAAAACCCCAAAAGGAGAACCCGTAGCAGGAAAGGTCACCAATTACAGGCCCCGGCAAGGGAAAGATGTGCTTTGCATCTCCTACGGGATATCACTGCCCCTGCAGCTCAGCCCGTTCCAAACCGTCATTACCCAGGCTTTTGCTTGTTTCCATTGGACTTTTGTTCAGAACAACGCCTCCCAGCTTCCTCCTCCTTTTGCACAAAATAATGTTCCTCTTCATTGCTTGTTGGACTTGCCCATGGTTTTGCCATAGCTTGTGTGTCCCAAATTGCAATTCTGTTATTCTTGAATAAATCCATTTTTATTTTCCAGGCTAGCACTCCAAAAGCCCATCTCTGAATGACCTCCTGCATTTCTCACTCTGTAGCCAGTTGTGTGCTCTTTCAGGGCAGAAACCTAAGTAGCTTATCCATCTTTGTTTCACCTATACGCCTCCCTAAGCCTACTTCAGAGTAGGCCCTGCATACGTGTCTGTTAACATGTTAAGATTTTGAAGCCTGAAGTTTAGCTGTGGGATAATGAAGACAGTGGAGCTTTTAGGAGTTAGGCTTGACTACATAGGAGGGGTTGTGGTAGAAAAACAGAAGGAAGAAAGTTCGATGGGTGAAGAATAATATATCACGGAGGCCACTGGAGGTCTATTCCTTATTTATATATCAGCCATCTGTGCAAAGACATTGTGTGCTTGGTGATAAGACGATACAAAAGATGCTCCGACTCCAGGCCTGATTTTTTTTTAATGCGTTATTTATTTCTGAGAGAGAAAGAGAGAGGCAGTGTGAGCAGGGGAGGATCAGAGAGAGGGAGACAAAGGTTCCGAAACAAGCTCCAGGCTCTGAGCTAGCTGTCAGCACAGAGCCGGATGCGGGGCTCGAACCAATGAACCGTGAGATCATGACCTGAGCCAAAGTCAGAGCTCAACCAACTGAGCCACCCAGGTGCCCCTGATCTTTTTTATTTTTTTCTAAGTCAAATCTATAATTTTGTATCTTGTAGCTTGTAATGTTTGGTTAGTTGAATTCCATAATAAAATTATTGGCTAGTAACAGATTACCTAAACAGTGTACCTATAAAAATTCATAATCAAATACTATTTACCATTCAATTATTTCTATCAATAAATAGTGATAATCTCAAGTTAACAAAATTATCTCCATCTACCTAAATGTGATAAACAATTCTTATTGAGTTACTGAATTTCAATATGCCAGAAACTACTTTCCACGAAAAAATTATTAAAGATAATTAATAACTAGATTAAATATCAACATTCTTATGAATTATCACAGTCTATGTGATGTATCTAAGTATGTATAATTCATACTTGATTTTTAAAAATTTAGGGGCGCCTGGGTGGCTTAGTCGGTTAAGCGTCCGACTTTCGCTTAGGTCATGATCTCGCGGTTCGTGGGTTCGAGCCCCGCGTCGGGCTCTGTGCTGACTGCCAGCTCAGAGCCTGTAGCCTGTTTCAGAGTCTGTGACTCCCTCTCTCTCTGACCCTCCCCTGCTCACGCTGTCTCTCTCTCTCTCTCTCCTAGAAATAAATAAAAATATTTTTAAAAAATTTAAATCCAAGTTAGTAAACATATAGTGTAATAATGGTTCCAGGAATAGAATTTAATGATTCATCATTTATATATAACCCCTAGTACTCACTACAACAAGTGCCCTCCTTAATGCCCATCACCCTTTTAGCCCATCCACCCACCCAAAACGCCTCCAGCAACCCTGTTTGTTCACTGTATTTAAGAGGCTCTTATTGTTTGCCTTACACTATGTTTTTATCTTATTTTTATCTTATTTTTCCTTCCCTTCCCCTCTATTCATCTGTTTTGTTTCTTAAATTCCACCTGTGAGTGAAAACATCTGATATTTATCTTTCTTTGATTGGCTTATTTTGCTTAGCATAATATATTCTAGTTCTATCCACATTGTTGCAAGTGGCAAGATTTCAATCTTTTTGTTCACCGATTAATATTCCATCACATATATACACCACGTATCCTTTATCCATTCATCAGTCGATGGACATTTGGGATTTTTCCATAATTTGGCTATTATTAATAGTGCTGCTATAAACATGGGGGGGGCATGGGCCCCTTTGAATCAGCATTTTTGTATCCTTTGGGTACAATACCTAATAGTGCAATTGTTGGGTCATAAGGTAGCTCTATTTTTAATGTTTTGGGGAAACTCCAAGCTGTTTTCCAGAGTAGCGGCACCAGTTTGCATTCCCATCTTCATTCCCACCAGCAGTGCAAAGTGTTCCCTTTACTCTGCCTACTCACCAACATTTGTTGTTTCGTGAGTTGTTAATTTTAGCCATTCTGACAGGTGTGAGGTGGTATCTCATGGTGGTTTTGATTTGTATTACCCTGATGATGAGTGATGTTGAGCATTTTTTCATGTGTGTGTTAGCCATATGGATGTCTTCTTTGGGACAGTATCTGCTCATGCCTTTTGCTCGTTTCTTCACCGGATTATTTGTGTTTTGGGTTATGAGTTTGATAAGTTCTTTATAGATTTTGGATACTAACTCTTTACCTGATATGTCATTTGAAAATATCTTCTCCCATTCCATCCATTGCCTTTTAGTTTTAGTGATTCTCTCCTTTGCTGTGCAGAAGCTTTTTATCTTGATGAGGTCCCAATAGTTCATGTTTGCTTTTGTTTCCCTTGCTCCAGAGACATGCCTAGTATGTGGCTGAGGTCAAAGAGGTTGTTGCCCATTATCTTCTCTAGGATTTTGATGACTTCCTGTCTTACATCTAGGTCTTTCATCCTTTTTGAGTTTATTTTTGTGTATGGTGTAAGAAAGGGGGCCAGGTTCATTCTTCTGCATGTCACTGCCCAGTTTACTCAACACTATTTGCTAAAAAGACCATCTTTTTTCCATTGGATATTCTTTCCTGCTTTGTTGAAGATTAAATTGGCCATACATTTGTGGGTCCATTTTTGGGTTCTCTAGTCTGTTCCATTGATCTATGTGTCTGCTTTTTTCTTTCTTTGTTTGTTTTTAAATTTATTTATTTGTTTTGAGAGAGAGAGGGAGAGGCAAAGAGAGAGAGGGAGATAGAGAATCCCAAGCAGGCCTCGTGCTCTCAGCATGGAGCCTGATGTGGGGCTCAAACTCAGGAACCGTGAAATCATGACCTGAGTTGAAATCAAATGTTGGATGGTTAACTGATTGAGCCAGCCAGGCATCCCTACATGTCTGTTTTTGTGCCAGTACCAGACTGTCTTGATGACTACAGCTTTGTAATACATCTTGAAGTGCAGAATTGTGATGCCTCCAGGTTTGGTTTTCTTTTTCAACACTACTTTGGCTATTTGGGATTCTTTCCTGGATCTCATACTAATTTTAGAATTGTTTGTTCTAGCTCTGGGAAGAATGTTGATGTCATCTTGATAGGGAATGCATTGAATGTGTAGATTGCTTTGGGTAGTATAGACATTTTAACAATGTTTGTTCTTCTAATCCATGAACATGGAATGTTTTTCCATTTCTTTGTGTTTTCTTCAATTTGTTTCATAAGTTTTCTATAGTTTTTGGCATACAGATCTTTTACTTCTTTGGTTAGGTTTATTCCTAGGTAGTGTATGGTTTTTGGTCTAATTGTAAATGGGATTGGTTCCTTGATTTCTCTTTATGCTGCTTCATTGTTGTTGTATAGAAATGCAACTGATTTCTGTACATTGATTTTATGTCCTGAGACTTTGCTGAATTCATGTATCAGTTCTAGCAGGTTTTTGGTGGAATCTTTTGGGTTTTCCATGTAGAGTATCATGTTGTTTGCAAAGAGTGAAAGTATGACTTCTTCCCTGCCAATTTGCGTACCTTTTATTTCTTTGTGTTGTCTGATTGCTGAGGCTAGGACTTCCAGTACTATGTTGAACAACAGTGGTGACAGGGAATATCTCTGTCATCTTCCTGTCCTTATGGGGAAAGCTCTCAGTTTTTCCCCATTGAGGATGATATTAGCTGTGGGCCTTTCATATATGGCCTTTATGATGTTGAGGTATGTTCCTTCTATCCTTATTTTCTTGAAGGTTTTTTATCAAGAAAGGATGCTGTATTTTGTCAAATGCTTTTTCTTCATCTATTGAGAGGATCCTGTGGTTCTTATGCTTTCATTTATTAATGTGCTATATCACGGTGATTGATCTGCAGATATTGAAGCACCCTTGCATACAAAAAATAAATGCCACTTGATAGTGGTGAATAATTCTTTTAATGTATTGTTGGATTTGATTTTCTAGTATCTTGAGAATTTTTGCATCCATGTTCATCAGGGAAACTAGTCTGTAGTTTTCCTTTTTAGTGGGATCTTTGGTTTTGGAATCACAGTAATGCTGGACTCATAGAATGCATTTAGAAGTTTCCCTTTCATTTCTAATTTTTGGAACACCTTCAAAACAATAGATGTTAATTCTTCTTTAAATGTTTGGTAGAATTTCCCTGGGAGGTCATCTGGCCTTGGTCTTCTGTCTGTTGGGAGATTCTTGATTACTGATTCAATTTTCTTTACTGGTTATGGGTCTGTTCAAATGTTCTATTTCTTTCTGTTTCAGTTTTGGTGGTTTATATGTTTCTAGGAATTTATCCATTTCTTCTAGATTGCCCGATTTGTTGGCATATAATTGCTCATAATATTCTCTTATTATTGTTTGTATTTCTGCGTGGTGGTTGTGATCGCTCTTCTTTCATTCATGATTTTATTTATTTGCGTCCTTTCCTTTTTGGTTTTGATAAATCTGTCTAGGAATTTATCAATTTTGTTAATTCTATCAAAGACCCAGGTCCTAGTTTCATTGATCTGTTGTTGTTTTTTTTTAATTTCAATATCATTGATTTCTGCTGTAATCTTTATTATTTCCCTTCTTCTGCTGGTTTTGGGATTTATTTGCTGTTCTTTTTCCTACTACTTTAGGTGTAAGATTAGGTTGTATATTTGAGGTATTTCTTCCTTCTTTCAGAGGAAAGTCTGATCTGAAGGGCCTTCATCGAATACTGTGCAGTGAGAAGCAGCATAGCTTGTAGTATAGCTTCTGAAGACAAACTAATCAGGTAGGCATAACTTGCT